GGCTGGTCTCCGGCGCTGCCTACCTCGGCGGGAAGCGAGACGCCACCTCACGCCCCTCGGGGGCGCAGCCGACTGGCGCTCCCGGGAGGGGCGGGGCGGCCAGAGGGGGTGGCAGCCGAGCCGGGGGTGGAGCGGGGCCGCCAGCGGGGGCGGGCCGGAGGTCGGCGGGAGGAGAGACCGGGCCACCTGAGTCGAGGACGCCCCACGGGTCCCAATCCGCCAGCGGCGCTTATGCCGACTTGGGGGAGGGGGATATTCTGCCTCCCGCCGCGCGCGCCACCGCCCCGGGTGACAGCGCGACAGGAGGCCGCGCCCTCCGCGCCGCGGCTCCTCGCGGGACCCTTGGCTGGCGGCCGAGGGGCTTCCCGGGACTCCAGCCTTCCCAGCCTGGCGCCCGGAGCGGGGAAGCGGGGCCTGGGTCCCCGGAGCCCTCTCGGATCGCCGGCGCCTCGAGCAAATTCTCCCCCCTGCGACGCGCAAGGTCGTCCCTCCGGGAGCTTCCCCAAACTGCGTGGGGCTAGGTCCTCGAGGATGCAATCCCGTGGCCCCCAGGCTCCTAAGCATCGATTTCAGGACCCAGGGGAAAAGTGACTACCACCCCTCGCCACCCGGGGACCGATCCCTTTTGACAAACTGCTAAGGAAGTTGGGGATCCGGCTGAAGACCAGGCAGGAACTTCTGCCTTGAGGAGGGACCCTGTCAGTCACCAACCCTCTACCTGGGCCTCTTCTCTGGTCTCCTGTCAAACGTGGCTCACTGAGTGGGACTATGCTGGCCAGATTCCCCTGGACAACCTCAAGGGACATTTGGGTGTAGTTAAGCCTTAAGTTCAAAAGGTGAGAACCACCATCAAAATGTCCTTCGATCCTTTTCATCTAAATCCATCCTACATTCATGATGGTGTCTAAATGAGAATTATAGGGAGAGACCAAAGAGAACTCATGTAATCCTAAACAATGCATGTTTTAAAAAATATATATGATTATTTGAATAGATTTTAAACATTCAACATATTCAAGATCCTTCCTCATAAAATAACATTAAAATCTAGAAATTAAAGTGTATCTTTGATATGGAGAACATTGAATCCGTAGCCTAACATTATATGAACAGCTTCAAAACTTCAAGTTATTTCTTTAAAAAGCAGACCACAAAAAATAAAAATAAAAAATCTTAGAAGCCGGGCTCGGTGGTTCAGCCTGTAATCCCGCGCCTTTGGAAGGCTGAGGTGAGTGGATTGCCTGAGCCCGCGGGTTCGAGACCCGCCCGGGCAGCCAGACCTCATCGCTACAATAAATAAAAAATCAGCCGGGGGTGGTAGCGCGTGCCTGTAGTTCCAGTTACTTGGAAGGCTGAGGCGGAAGGATCGCCGGAGCCCAGCAGGTCGAGGCTGTGGTGGCCGGGAGCGGCCACTGCACTCCAGTCTGGGCGACAGTGAGACTCCAACTCAAAAAAAAAAAAAATCTTAGAAAACGCAGGAGACACCCTTACAGAAATTGGAATAGGCAATCAATCCCTGATCAAAACCCCAAAAGCCCATGCCATAAGAGATAAGATAGGCAAGTGGGACCTCATCATACTGAAAAGCTTCTGCAAAGCGAAAGAACCATCAAGAGAGCCCGGAGACAATTCAGAGAAGGGGAAAAAATATTTGCCAAGTATGTATCTGACAAAGGACTAACTAACATCCAGGCTCTACAAGGAACTCAAACATGCCAAAAGGAAAAAAAAACAAGCAGCCCTGTTAAAAAGTGGGCAAAAGCTATGAATAGACACTTCTCCAAAGAAGACATATGAGCAGCCAACAGCTACATGAAAAAATGCTCAGCATCACTAATCATCAAAGAAATACAAATCAAAACCACTCTGAGATACCACCTAACTCCAGTCAGGCTGGCCATCATTAATAACGCAATAAACAGCAGATGCTGGAGAAGATGCAGAGAAAAGGAAACACTTATACACTATTAGTGGGAGTGTAAACTTGTACAACCTCTGTGGAAAACAGTGTGGAGATTTCTGAAAGACCTAAAAATCAACCTTCCATATGACCAGCAAATCCCTTTTCTGGAAATATACCCGGAGGAACTCAAATCACTCTCCAAAAAAAAGATACCTGCACACGTGCATTTATTGCAGTACTATTCACAATAGCAAAAACATGGAACCAACTGTTCTGCCCATCGAAGGTGGACTGGATTTTAAAAAGTGGTACAAATACACAATAGAATATTGCACAGTTATAAAGATGGACAAAATTATGAATTTTGCACCAACTTGGATGGATCTAGAGTCCATCATACTCAGTAATCTATCACAGAAACAAAGAACTGAGTACCACATGTTTTCACTCACAAGTGGACCCTGAACACTGATCATAACACTATATGAAAAGGATTGACAGTAGTGGGTCACTGCGTGGGGGAGAGGGTGTGTGTGGTGGGGGGGCAAGTAACACTAATAAGGGAACCTGATCTCAAACCAGGTGAGGTGAGGACCAATGGAAGGCTGAAAATTCACCTGTATGTTGACCACTTATGTACCTAACCCTGAATTGTACCCCACATCGTTAAATAAAAAATTTCAGTTTCCTGGGTCAAAACTAAAAATAAAAATAAATTTCTGCAGCCCAATTTTTTTTAGCATAATTATTGCTATTTTGGATGTTTCTTGGAAAATTTAAGAATTAATAAGAGAACAACCAAGTGCCCCCATACAGAATAAAATTATTTTTACATAGGCAAACAATATCCAATTAAAATGTAATAAGCCTGGCTCGGTGGCTCAGCCTGTAATCCCGTGCCTTGGGAGGCTGAGGTGAGTGGATTGCCTGAGCCCGCGAGTTTGAGACCCGCCTGAGTAACTTGGTGAGACCTCATCTCTACCATAAAGCAAAAAATTAGCCGGGTGTGGTAGTGCACGCCTGTAATTCCAGCTACCTGGAAGACTGAGGCAGAAGGATCGCCGGAGCCCAGCAGGTCAAGGCTGCGGTGGCCGGGAGTGGCCACTGCACTCCAGTCTGGGCGACAGAGTGAGACTCCAACTCAAAAAATAAAAATAAAAAAAACAAAAAAAAGTAATAAAAATGAACTCCATTCAAAATAGTGATAAAGAACATGAAATAACTAGGAATGATAAAAAATGAGAAATGTGGGAGAAAATTGAGAAAAATGAGAAATTATGTATAAAATATTTTATTATTTGGAAAGACACAGTATCCCTAAATGAGAAGACAAGCGTTTAGATTCATAATTACTACCTCCCAAATTAAGAGAAAAATATGTTTTAGAATTTATCTGAAAACCTGTGCAAGCTAGAAAAGTTAAGACCAGTGGTTCTCAGAGTGTGGTCTGGGAGCAAGTAATAATCCTGGAAACCCTTTCACGAGATTCACCGGGTCAAAAATACTTGCATAATAATAGTAAAACTTTTTTCATTCCCTTTTTCACTCTCTCTGTCTCTCTTTTTTTTTTTTTAGTGAGTATACAGTGAAGTTTCCCAGTGCTGTATAATATATATCACAACAGATTGAATACAGAAGCAGATGTGCCTTCTGTTATGTTAGACATTAAAGAAATGTGTAAGAATGTAAAACAATGCCACTCCTACCATAAAAATTTTTTTGGTTTTGGAAAATAGATATTTTT